GAGCTTCATTCAGCTTCGCAATGGTTCTGGTAGTCGGCTCCTACAGTTTAACAATGTTACAGGTTTAGTTTAAGGCATTTAGGGAATAAATTCTGCGCAAACCATAGACATACCTGCAGCACTCCCCATGCGTGGCCTGCTCGCAGCTGCCGGCAACAAGCCACTACCGGCTTTATGCCAACCAGATTGGCCGCACTTAGTCACGTGGCTCAACTAATCACATGACACATGCAAGGACAGCTTGAGAACAACGTGCGGTTTATCACCCAGGTTACACTGTGGCTGACTGAGGTCTAAACTCTGAACACTGAAAAGGTCAAGCAGAGACTGTGGTGAACAGTTCTGTGAGTGAGGGCAGCATGTGTCAGACTGGGGATTATCTGACAAGAACGTAGAAATCGAGTTCTTTACTATCACCGGAAAATCAGCAATGACTGGACTCAGAAGGTACAAGTTCAGGGGTTTTGGGGACAGCAATTTTCACTGGCTGGGGGAAAAAATACTTCCCCTGATGATAGCATACATCTAAAGGAAGCTGCCAGGTGAAAACTCTGGGAAACCAACCTATGTGAAGATGACAGAATGATGTTGGCCTGCTTTGACCCTCTGTGACCCTCCTGCAACTTAAACTTGTCAGTGGTTATATTTGTGCACATGATGCTTTAGACATAATTTTATGCAAATTAATGTCCCAGGGTGACTTGTGCAGGATGCGCTGCTGTGCTAATTAGAAACTATCAATTTGAAGTTGCTTTGACCTTTATGGATATTTAGACAAACTGGCTGTGACAGCAAAGTGCAGGGAGTTGGTTATTTGCTCATGTGGGATGGAAGACGGATAAAATGTCATATATGAGCCTGAGGTGTTTACATATTTATCTCTTGTTTGTATTAATGAACAGTCTATATTCAGGAGCTGATGTATTTCAGTCACACAGAAGAAGATTATGTGACAATCTGGTCCCAGAATTAACATAAAACTGCAACTTTCGTCTTCTCACGTATTATTCTGCAATCTGCGCACATGGTCGGCTGAGCGCTCAGACTGACAGTACAATCAATAAACACAGTCGATGTGAGTGCTCATGTAGAGGAAGAAAGTACATGCCAAAACAACATAACAGCATAATCTCCCTGGGAGGTTTTCTGCAGTTGTCTTCAAATGTTTGCTTAAACTTTGATGGGTGTTCGTAGACCTCCATTGCTCTCTTCCTCCCACCTTTCCACACCTCCCTCCCTCAAGCCTTCTGTAGCTTGGCGAAAAGAGAGGAACTGAATGATGGAGAGAAATGTTCAACACAGCATGCCTGTGTCAGAGTTCCTGCTCAGACATGGGAATGCACCCACTTGCCTACGAGACATAGTCGAACACACTCCACACATGATAACACGCCCATGTGATGAAGCACAAAAATGCACACAAAGCTCATGCAGATGGAAACAAACATGAGAAAACATGGAAGAATGAGCTGCTTGACATTTCCGGTCTATATTTAAACTACAGGCTGTTTGTATAGTTTGCAAGCATGTGTAGAAATGTGTGTGTCTTTCCGTGTCCCTCGTGATTCTGCTTTAAAGGCCTAAGGGCATGTTGTCACCGGCTATATCGCTCCTCCAGTATGATGCTCAGCTCGTTGGGGAGCCTCAGTGAAAAGACTGTGATGTCTCCAATACACAGTTTCAAATAGTTTTATTGTGCAGACTGCCACTAGGAATAGATCAATTATTTGATTTTGCAGCTCATAAAGGGAATCCCCCACAAAATTTCAACCACTGTAAAGAAATCAGGAAAAGGAAGCATGCAGAGTCGCGGATAAGACACTTGAGCCGAGCATGTAATGAAAGGAGTTTAAATTAGGTCATCCTCTTTCTCCCATGTTCATTTTCACTATGTAATAAGGCTGAAAAGTGTTACGCGTAACAAGTCTCCCCATCCCCTCCCTATAGCATTAGCCCATGTAGGTACTCTGTCACTTCGCTGAAGAGGATAAACATGCTGGTGGACATTTTCTCCGTGTTTGTCACTTCTTCAGCCATCTGCCACTGTGAAAGCTTTCTTGTTTAGAGCTGTAAAGCAGGAGGATTCTCCATCACATCCCTTTAAATCTAACCTCAGATGAATAAATAAAAATCCGTACACAGAAGCAACCAGTAACCATTAACTGAACGCTACATTACCCTACATTAACATAATACAAACTAAATTTAGCCTGCTATTTCTAACGTTGTTGAAAAGATTTAGGTGACAAAGACAGCTTTGGTTGTAGCTGTAGTTGAAGTTACATGAAATACTAAAAATGAAGGGAATAGTGTTACATTTTGAGAAATGGTATTTACTTTCTGGCCAAGAGGTAATAAGCAGATTTCTCTGCCAGATGACTTCCTGGAGCAATTTCACCACGGTGAGGTTGCTAGACAACCCGTAGAGACGCTAGGAAGTCACTGCACCAAGCTGCTGCCGCTATCATATCGTTGTTTGTCATAAGCAAAGATATTTTTCGCCTCCATGGGCAATTTTAGGCACAAACACAACATCATCAGGGTTTGGGTTGAAATAGTCGAACTCCATCATTATGGTTACAATAATAAGGTTATGGAACAAGTAATGGTTAAAAGAAATGTTGATTTTTTTTAGTCTGATGATTTGCCAACGCATTCATCCACCCCAACCTCCTCTTTATGTGGACCTTGTGTCTATAAAACTGCATCACCTCACTTCCTCCTTCACAATTGCTACTTGAGGAAACTTGTCACAGTGGGTCACAATAATCTTCTTGTGCAACCAATTAGCCAATCATCTTCTCTTTTCCCCAAAATGTTAGACTATTCCTTTAAAGCTTTCCTCATAATAGATATCACTTGTTGTGATGTGACAACTGAACACCCCTTCAATGTCTGAAGCACTCCTTCAACATTTCAACACGACTCTCACTGTAGTTGTTGTGTAACGTTGTGTCTCCAGATTGCTTTCTCATAAAATTCTTGAACATGACTGTTGAATTTGTAAAGTCTTGATTCTGGAAATGCAACAGTGGGGAAAAAACAAATAATTTGAAAGGACAAGTTGACTAAAATAACCACACCATGAGCTGCAGTTAGTCAGACTTTACCCAAATCTCAAGAGTTTTTACACACAATAACAAAAGGCTCTCTTCATAGAAAGTAACATTGCTTCTACATATTTTGAGTTTGACTGATATCGCTTGCTGATGAGAATCACCTGGTTATCTTTTCCTCTTCATCAAAATGTCATCTTGTACTTAAGTTATTTTGTGTTCTGACAGAACCTTCATAACTGTTCTGCCACAAGAGCCCTGTTGTTTCTTCATGTTTCAGATTCACAGACATTTTTCAGACCAGACTTTTTGAACTATCATTGTATGAAAACACACAGAAAATATGGCTTTGCTTCCAGAAACTGTCAAAATGTAGTGCATGAATTCATACTGTTATCCAGAGTAAAAAAAAAATCGCTACAGTCCAAAAGGTCTATTTGGCAATAATTATTAGTTTTCAAATCAAAATCCTTGAGCAAGGATGCTACATACACATGTAAATGTACATAAATGCGACATATGCTGTAACCTCTTTAAGGTTAAAGAAGAAATTATGATCAACAGCTACCAAACTGCCGTTTCCTTCCTGCCTCACTGTCCCCTGAAGCTGTAAACCAGCTCAGCATGCCAGTAGAGGTTCCTCATGTTTTGCTGCTGATAAATTTGTCCTTCACATACAATGGAAGTTCATCTAGAAAACATTTATGCTGCAGATTATGATGAAACCAATCAGCAGCTCTCTATTTTTAAACTTGCATTCCCTTTATTTATTTATTTATTTATTTTAATTGCAGTTTTTTTTTAGGCCATTCTCGTGGGGCCAACCACATACTGATATTGCTCAATTCTCTGGTTTTCATTTACAGATTTAGAGAATCTTACAGTTGTAAATGTCTTTTTGTTTTTGTTTTTTTAACGAAGAGAACACAGCGACGGCGTCGGTGTGCTGTTTACTGGAGTATAAATGAATAATTAATGCATCTGTCTCATCTGTGCAGAGTAGCATGTTTTTCTTGTTGTTGTTTTCTATGTTTATCACCCCCTATGTCTTTCCCTTCTCTCTCTCACTTATGCAATCTGCTATGAATTGCTAATAGTTTATTTATTATTTATTCTTTCAACATTCATGAAGGTCGTATTTTATGCTTCATTGCTTCTGTTTTACACACAGCTGGAATTCTCTAAATGTCAGATTGTTACTAACTTAAGTTATGCAGAGATCTACATGCACATATATAATTCTTCTCCTCTTATACCCCCTGCTTTTCCCAGGGTTGCTTCATTTTATTGTTCTTTCTCATTTTCCTTCTGCACCGTCCTGCTCTTTTTCACCCATCTGTGTTTCACCCTCCCCTCCCATCTTCCTATTCCTCTTAAGTTCTTCTTCTGTTCCTCCATACAGCGTTATTTTCTTTGATCGGTCTCCATTTGTCTCTTTACCCTCCCACTCTGCATAGTGACACTGCTGAAGGGATCTCTCTCTCTCTCTCTCTCTCTCTCTCTCTCTCTATCTATCTATCTATCTATCTATCTATCTATCTATCTATCTATCTATCTATCTATCTATCTATCTATCTATCTATCTATCTATTTCACTGACTCTGTATCTGTCACTGCTCTCTTTCCTCCTCTCCTTCGGTCTTTCTCCTTATTTGTCTCCCTCCGTCTCTATCTTTACCTCTCTCGTCCCTCCCTCCCTCCCTCCCTCCCTCTCTCTCTCATCCTCTTCCCTCACTATCTCTCCATGCACACTTGATTCATTTTACACATTACTGAAGCATCCATCATTTTGCTCTGTGAAGGAAAAAAACCTCTCCTTTTTTCTTTTTTTTTTTTTTCTTTTTTAAACCGTGACAGTATTCTCCACTCATCTTTTTTCCGGCTGCCTTTTCTTTCCCAACTCCTACACTCTCCTGTGGATCCAATCCTAAAGCTGGAACCAATATGTTTTATTTCCAGCTGGTCATCATGGCAGGGACCGTTCTGTTGGCGTACTACTTTGAGTACACGGACACGTTCCCCGTGCACATTCAGGGCTTCTTCTGCTTTGACAAAGCCTACTCCAAGCCATACCCAGGACCAGAGGACAACAGCAAGGCACCGCCTGTCCTCGTCTACTCCCTCGTCACCGCCATCCCCACTGTGACGGTGAGTCAACTTGTAGAAAAGAATGTGCTAACATGGGTGCTTGTCATGCACACACGCACACATCTCACAGATGTGACAATCGCCTACATTTGTATGCACACAATCGACCTGCAACATGTGAGACACACACACACACACACACACAAACAGATGGTTCATCCTCATGTGCACGTGGTGTTTGTGAAACCGAAAGAAGGGAGACGTGTAGGTGTGCATCCTCGTGGTCTCACTGCTCTGTTTGTGTGGATGCGTTCTCTGTCATAACCATGGCAACGGGCACTATATTTGTCCTCCATAGAGCAGTCAGCGATAGCTACAGTGTACAGAGAGTCTGTCCTTATTTCTCAAAGACATGCTTTTAAACAGAATAAAACATCAGCTGTGAATGGCTTCTCTTATTCATGCACAGTGGGCACAGTTTCATGATTTTCACCTCACACGAGAGTTAAAAATGCATACAGAAACATCTTAATAATTAAACATCAGTGTAGCATTGTAATTTGCAGGTTGTGAATTCTTGTCCAAATGCACATCAGTATTCATTTACTTTATTTTACCAATTCTCAAAGGCAATTTGCGCATTTTCACTCACGCAAAATTAGTTTACAATGACCATAAGTATTCTTATTAGTCTAGAATATAGGGAATTTAATCATAGCAGCTATACTCTCGTTTCAGTGGGATTTTATTAATAATGAAAGCTCCATGTTCATGACTTCTGTCTTGGGCCCCAAGGCTTATCTCTTTGATGTCCTGCAATTAAGTGGCATTACGACATGGCTGCCATCGAGTGACACAGGAGGGCAGCTACACTGCTCATACATATAATCATACATAGAGGTACAGGCAGTCCAGGGTCATTTTTTGCTGTGATAGTTCACATCTACTGAAAAGAAAGGCCTGACTTGCTCATGCTTTGATAAAGGTAGTTGATCATTGCAGCAGCAGTGATAAAATGTGTGTAAAGGTTGATGAAGGTGTTATTATGAGACATGTCTCTCACTTTGGGAGCAATTTTCTTTTCACATTTTGTGCTGAAAGTGGCACTTCACGCACAGATGCAGAGGTGTATGCATGTATTTATGTGTGTGTTTGCTTGTTTGGAGCGTTGCATGCACTCGAATGGTTGTAGGCTGCGAGCGTCAGCGTATGCGAGCTGTTCATAGTGGGAGTGGAGTGGCGTGATTTTGCCTGAAGAGTGAAATAGGGTTTTTTTGAAAGTCAGAGCATCTGTGTTCTCTTTCGTTCCAAGATACCGCTCCATCCCACGAGTCCCTGCTCACATACAATAAAAAAGGTAGATATTCATCTAACTTTTCTCTCAAATTTGACTCCACAAACAGAAGACAGACGAGTTCTTCAGCTGACGTTATAGATGTTTGCAGATTTTTGTGTGTGTGTGTGTGTGTGTGTGTGTGTGGATCGTGTTTTTGACAGCTGATTTTTAAACCTACCAGAAACTCCACTGTTTTCTCTTTCATGCTTTTACTGATGCTTTGTATAATGATAGGGAGGCATTCAAGTTTAGAACTATAGCTGGTTATGTAACGTTCAGTGGTGTTGCTTCCCCGAGTTAAAGCACTTAAAATAGTGTTTCAGAGATTGGGTTTTTGTACCACCATATAATAGGAGGCAGGTCATGAAAACGATCGTCAGAATTTTTGCAGCCAATGGACTTATCTCTAATAGGGATATTGTGACACCGGAAATTTGGTTGTGGAAATTCCACATTCAAATTTTAATAAAAACCTTCTACATACACCTTGTTTGGACACACAAAAATACACACACAACATTATATTTTGACAGACTACAGTGACCACAGCACTAACATTAAGAGCAGCACTCAGCTAAAGTTAGGAGCTGCAACTAGCTACAAAGGGCTATATTTACATTTTGAAAAAACAACAACAATATTAACCAGAAGAATAAATCAATTTTAATTCATATTCTAATCTAGAAGGCCTGTAATGCACCATACAGCTGTTTGTTAAATGCCACAAAACATTATCAGAAGAAGAAGTTATGAGTTAGGGCTATGTTAGCCTAAACAAGCTAATATTCACCTATAGCTACAAGCTAATGCTAGACTAAATGAGCTAATTCTAGTGTTTGTAAGCATTGCACTTCATCAGAATAGAAGAATAGAATAGAATGTTATTGATCCATTTGGTGCAAACCTCAGGAAAATTGTTGATCAATCAAATGCAGCTGTTGCAATTCACAGACAACTATGGTAACATTTCAGGATATGAATATTTTGGCAACATGGTTTTTACATTTAAAGTTGTAAAAATTAATCAGTCCCCTTGAATTCTTTGAGCTGCTTGGATAACTTTGAAGTGTTTCCTCCATTTGTTCTAACACTTTTTGAATTTTAGCTTCGCATGATGTGCCTTCAAATTCTGCAGTACCAACGGTACTTTCTGTACCTTCAGTACCATCGAAAAACAAACTCTGTCAGGTTTTCAGTTTTTTACTTTCATCTCGCCAGATAACTGTTTACACATGAACTGCGTGAGACATGAGCAAGGCTCAGGATTTTAAAAAAATTACCTCTTACTGACAACTGCTGACCATTATGGAATTCATCTTAAAAGGCACCCTGTGGTGTACTTCTCTGCAAAAATGGTTTTACACTTCACCTGATCTGCAGGAGACTGTGATGAAGACTGTGTATGAAGATATACAGCAATGTTCCAGAAAAGGCTGTGATGGACAACCCCGCAGGCCAGTAAATACAGATGTAAACAATGCAGGATGTAAAATACTTAAGATTTGCAAATGTCTCATGAGCAAAATGCATTCAACACATTTGTCAGCCCTCAGGGATACACTCAGTGTGCTTGGGTGAAAATGCAAACATGGGTTTTGCTTCAACTGGGCACCTTTAAGTTAGGAATCGTTTTCTGATATATTCTGATCTAATTTAGTTGTTTTTCCTGCACTGCAAAAAAGCCAACTTGTATTTTTTGGCCTAAAACAGTAATTTTTGTTGGTAAAACTTGAAAATATAAATTATTGACATTTAAGACAATAATCTAAGTTAGCACAACAGAACAAGACAGTTGTATGCTCTAAAATAATTTGGTGAGTTGTTAATACTAAAATCCATACGTTGTGGTTCAATTTAAGGGACAACAGTTCTGTCAACTCATTTTTCTTTGCTGTGAAATGCGGGAAAGCCAACTTTCCGAGTTGGCATTTTTCACTTCCAAGTTTCGAGGCTGTGTGCTGCTTGGAGGAGCTGGAGAGCTGCTGCCTCAGGCTGAAGTCTGCACGGGTAAGTTTTAAACAACCTTTAATTTAATTTATTTTAACATGAAACCATATAGGAATTTTATTTTGAGTTGTGTCATAATGGAGAAAGCAACCTACACATTTTCAACATTTAAACACAAGGTTTTTCTGTCCTTAGCGGTTAGCGGCTAATCGATGCTAGCAGGGCCGCAGCAGTTAAGCCAGTAACATTAACTGGGCCAATCCTATTCAAACATGACAACATGTTGTCTTCTCACTTGTTGGTATTGTATTACAGTAATTCATGCTCAACTCAAAATTGTGGTCGCAACGTTAGCCGACATTTTATTTAATCTTTCATAGATAAGGAAGGTGTCTGTTAGGTCTCTGCTCCCAGACGGCAGCAGGTGAGCAGGCTGTTTTACGTTGGTAGGGACAGAGAGAGCCGAGCAGACTGACTGAGTTCGATAAATCACCATGCTACTGTGATTTAAGTATTAAAATAATAATTATTCTTTTTTTAAAGTGTGTTGATCACAATGCCCATTTTAACATGAAGATAAAATTGAAATTGTTTTGACTTTATAATGAGGATTCAAAATCATGTTCACATTTTTTCAACAGATTAGAGAAGAGTTTTGTCGGATCACAAACAAGAACCAAATGGACAACTTCAAAGAAGCCCTTCATGAGCACACCTGGAGGCTCCTGAGACTCTATCGGGCGAGAAGGACAGCTTTTCCGTCTGAGATAGATCAGCTCCTTACCAGCCTGGATCAAGAGGTGAATTCTGGATGTAGTAATTTCATAACGTTGAACATTATGGATAGGTTTAGGGTTAGGGTCACCTTGTTGTGACAAACCCTCAGAATAAATGCATGGGTTTCTAAGGGACACAATAGCACAAACAAGCAAACCAATGATGACGATCAAATAATCAATGATCAAAGACATAATTACTCAGATATAGTGACTTTTTTCATGTTAAACAAAGGGTATCTTAATCTTTAAAAAAAAAAAGATCTTGCCCTGTGGGAAACCTTTTCATGATGTTCTCAGACACTGATAATGATATTTGCCCATCAGTGACACAAAAAGCGTTTTCAGTGGACACACTTTGACAGTGAGCAATCATAGGGCCCAAGCTGAAAAATGCCAAATTACCCTTTAAAAAGGAGTAAACCTTTGACATGCAATCGACAGGATTTTTTGGGGATATGGAAGAGGACATCTGCCTGCATGCTTACTCTATTTCTTGTAATGATTCATGCAACTCTTGTTTCAGACATCTGACATCACTGCACATCGACAAACTGCAGCTTTAAAGGGCCTTCCTTTGTTTCTCCGTGACAGTCCGGAGAAGCTCTTCATGACCTGTCTTGTGAGTTGTTATAATGAACAGAAATTGTAAATTATGTTATTATACTGTATTTACGTATAGTGCTGTAGTTAACGTTGACTTCAACCATTACCGCTCTGTCCTACTTGTTTCCTAACAATGTGTCTTATAGTTGTACTGTCCTGGCTATGACTTGATGTAGCGTAATTAATGTCATTTGATGTGTGTATGCGGGTTCGGTTTTTGATTGTGGGGTATGGGGTGGAAATAGTTAATATGTCAAGCTCATAATCAATTCTAATTGGAAAAAACATGTTTATTTAATAATGTGGAGATATTTTAGAGTCTTAGCTTATTCTGATTCACACTATTTTAGTGACTAATGTCTTGCAATCCATGTGTTGGTCTTTTCTGGTCTGTT